ATAATAATAATAATAATAATAATAATAATAATAATAATAATAATAATAATAATAATAATAATAATAATAATAATAATAATAATAATAATAATAATAATAATAATAATAATAATAATAATAATAATAATAATAATAAACATTAATATTAATAATAATAAGAGACAAAGACAAAAGAAATGGTTAGATAGAAAGAACAGGTTTATTTATTTCTATGTGGTCTTGGTAGAAGAATCTTTGTCACATAGATGCCTCAATATCTTATGGAATTCATATAAATTTCAAAGAAACTAAAATATTCTCCTCTTCTCGAGATTCCACAGTCTTTGGTTTTCGCCCAAAAACTTTGGACCCAAACATATTTTCAGCGTTTTCTGCTGATTTTCTTGACTGATCTGATATTTAAGTGATGTTTCGGCTCGGGAGCTCCTAAATCACCCACGTATCGTTCCTGATCGAACCGATTTAAACCACATGGTCGACGCCATTCCTGCCCTCTTTCATGAAACCATTTGTTCGCTGTCCATTTCGTTCCGGTCAAAACCGGGCATGCAGCATGGTAAGAGCGCATGTCTACTGCACCGCTACGCATCAAATTATACCAAAATAGTGCTGCATTCTGCAATGATCCAATTGATTAATTAATATATTGAAACGTAAGCTATAGTAATTCAGGTGTGCCTAACATCAGTATTTCTAGAGTGCAATAATTTTTGCGAGAGCTTTCATAAACTTTGAAAATTTCTAGGCAGATATCAAAGGTGTATTTCAATGATTCTGTCCATTTGCTACATAAATTTCCTTTCTTATTCGACCTATCACAGAAGAAACAAGTTGTGAGCTAATAAAGTAGAAGTCGGAATTAGTTAAATTATTTACATCAAAAGATATCACAAAATATTTTATACAGTGAGATCATCTATCTGGTTGGCGGTGCACAGCATCTAATATCCAACAACTCACCTTGGTGCATGGTACTGATGCTTTCAAATTAATAAATACTGTTCTACCTCCTATTTCTGGTTCAGTCATCTGCAATAAAATAAAAACAATATCAGTAATTCTTCGTGCAACATTTTCAATTATGGTACTGAATTATCTAATACAGAAATAAATGAAATAAAGATGAATGAATACATAGATCAAAATTGTAGCTATTCGATTTCCAGTGCCTGTTCTTTCGAAAGCATCTTCGTCCTGAAAATATAACCCATTGTCCTAGCACACAAACCAATTAAGAAAAAACTGTTTCATGAAGACCATTTTGATATTGTGTGCAAGACCAATAAAAGAATATTTATTTTCATACGATCGTATTATTCCCAATGATTTGATTTTTAAAGTTTCTCATTTGAAGTGTATTCTAAATGAGGAACTTGAAGAGTCGTATCAATGCATAACAACCAATAATGACAGAATGATTGTAGAGGATAGCACTTACTCGTGAACAATCAAGATGAGGTTCATAATGTCCACCAATTCCATAATTTTGAACCTGAAACTCTTTATATATTAATCAAAATTTATAGAATACACGGTTCCACCTGCTACATCCTTCTAAGTGATGAAAAAATTTATGTAGTGCTATCAATATTTTTTTTAAAAATATTCACTTGAAATGATAATACAGCAGGAATCGATAATTTTTATAATTTTGAACTTCTCTGATCCCTATTCTGGAATTCAAGAATCTAAAAGGATGACCTGAAGTTCCTCCGCAGTTGCTATTTCGAGGTTTGTTGCTAAATCAAGACGTCTATTGATACGATTAACTACTTCATGTTCCGTCGATCTCAACCAGGCACTGAGGATGAGCTCATTTATTTATGTTTACGTCAGACAAAAGATATAGGTCAATTTTCTCACTACCTTCATCAAATAAACGAAGTATTTTTATTTGGAATCAATTTCATTCAGTCTCCCTTATAAATATGTATTAAAAAGGAAAAAAAATGTCATTAAAAGGTTGTTGCTAATTAATAAGAAATGGAATAAAAACGGCAAGAAATACTTTTTTTGCCTTCATTCTCACAATTTAATACAAATTTCATTCCAACGTAAAACTAGAATAAGTAAAATATCTGAACATTTACCTTTTGCTAATACGATAGGAAGCCGTCTCAAGGTTTCCAGTTTCAACATTGTGAACTGTAGCCCGGTCCAACTGTAATTCTTGCAGTAAGAATTTTGTCAGGCATAAAGTGGACATAATAACCAAGCCATTAACTCACCTCTTTCTCGTTATGAATGAGCACCCCTTTCTTGTTATGAATGAGTATGCAGCTACTATATAATATAGACCACTAAACATGCCTTGGGTACTGCAAGCATTTCGATAATTCGTGATTCCTCATCCGACATAATGTCATGGAACAGTACAGCTAATGGATTTTGGTAAACAATTTCAACTTTGATTGGTGCCAGACGTAAATATGGACGATCCATTTTGTAGTAGCAATACAACCGCGATTGTGCCTTGATGTTCTGCATAAAATTCAGCATAATTCATTAACTGTAATTTCAATGTCTCGATGTTTCGAGTTAGCAATTTTGTTTAACAAATTAATTTCAATCCAAATACAGGAAATGAGTAAAGCTGTTAGTATCTAATGATTCATGATATATCATCATATCGGGAAACATTATGGGAGATTAACTGACAGTCGGTGCTACTCAAAAGAATCGAGCCAGTGATTTTGAATGTAACAGTTCAATCTTGAGTTTCACATGAAAAAAATTAAACACAAGGTAATGAAGGCTTACGACAGGCATTTCTTGTCGACATAATGCTTGATATGTATCATTCAAGTCACTTTTATCCCGTGGATTATTTATCGGTGGAACTTTTCGTCGCATATCGGCACGTCGGACTCCCTCATCTTCCAGCAAATCTTCATACCACCTCACGTTGCCTTTGGCCCGTGGATGATCTGGATCTGTAGTTATTTTCTATGAGCGCCATAAAACACTTTGTATTAAGTAAGAAATGAAAGTAATTAATTTGTCATCAAATGGTATGGCTTGTATTGCGCATAACATTGAAGACTAATCACACTTTCATTAAAAGCTCAAAGTGAACTGATTAAGACTTCGGCATGGGCATTTGATAAAAAGATGAAAATAGTTACACAGAGAGCCTTTGAAATTTCCGAAAACTGAAGTCAAAATTTTAGAAAGCTCTAAAAACTCTTTTTCGATGCGATAGATCTTGGTATTACTGAGGCCAGGAACTTTTTCTACTAAAAAGTTTTCTACTAAAAAAAAAAGAGAACTCAATGACAAATGACTTACTTATGCGATACAATTCATCCGTAAGCAGTAAAGCTCGTTTCAGATTACCCTGTTTATACAATGAGAAGGCTAAGTATTCGAGAATGCTTTCCAGGTCCACGGTTGGATTGGCCTCCTTTTTAATACGCTCTTGCGCTTCTTGCATCCATAGAATGGTGTAGTAATAATCATATGCATTGTAAGCTGCTCGACCAATTTCAAAACAATCTGCAGCTGCAACATTCGAAATTCTGAAATCGGTATATTTCCGCTTTTTGACAACCTTTCTCTCTCTCTCTCTTTCTCACTCCATCTCTTGAAGAAAGCAAAAGAAGGAAGAGAGAGCTATATTAGTACCTTTCCCGTTTAGGCTTTGGTTTCAAATTATCGTTTTTGAAGATCAAAACTAACCAGTCAAAGCAACTGTTCGCATTTTAGAATTCAGAATTTTCCCATCAGCAATATCTTTGGTATCCATTTCATATGTGTCTTGCAAACGCAACAAACCGATTGCTGCGCCTGACAGATCCATCTATACAGTACTTCATAATAGTTAGTATTCCATAAATTATTTTGTGCATATTAAGCACAATCAAGTAGCAGCTAAGATAGTATGGAAGAGTATCTAGGGGACCAATCCCATAAGCGACCAAATTCAAATCAACGCTTGTAACAGTTGAGCAGAGTCTGAATAGCAAGAATTAATAACCAAATACTTCTACCCTATATTCCTCACCAGCAAGAATTAAGTGCATTTCTGTTCCACCACTCACATCCGGGTATGACGTTCGTTCAGCAAAAAAAAAAGTTCGTTTTGTCGATTTTGGACAAACTATGGTAAAATTCAAAATGATATTTTCATCAGATGATCATTTACGACAAATATCAGCTTTTGTCGAAAAGATTGTGAAGAAAAGAAGAACCTCCGTAGGATAGTTGATATTCTTAATAACTCGCTGGCGAGTCACGTTCCGGATGAAATCATCGGCGGAATTTGACCGCATAATTTTTACTACTTTATTCCAGTCCGCTGTCATTCCCTTAATCAACAGAAAGGCATTGACTGGATGTGTTATCGCCTCCTCTCCATCTCGTATAGCTTTATCATTACGTTCTTGTACTTCTTGGGCGAATCTAAAATTATATCAACTGCTTATGAAATGAAAATAACTGAGTACTGACAGTACGACAGAAACTATTACAGAAGTTTCCAGCTCTTCCAAAAATTACTGGTACTTCAACAATTCATCATCAAACTTTCTTTAACAACCACCTGAAAAGCAGTTCTGGTGGAAATACGATATCCGATATTTCTTACCCTTAACATATATTCAATCATTTCCCTGTTGGAAACTGGTGCTAACCAACTGACATGCAGCTTTTCAAACCTATCTACTGTTTGGAATCAGAGAGACCTAAAAGGACCAAACAATTTTAATATCTGGCCAAGGGAAATAGAAGCAGTGCTTCCCGCGAGGTGCACTTTGGGAACAAGTCGAGTAGTTTGGAAAAGTAAGTAAGCAAAAAACAAAGAAGTTGCAATAAAGTCTCTTTGCTCTGAGAGTCAACTCTCTAGGCTACTATTAATCCCTTAAGTCAGGAATCTACTTCTCTTTTCCATTTAAGTCACCTTTTCGTCACTTCTTCTGCATTAAGAGTTAGTTCTCGGGAGTTTCGGTTACAAATTAAATTTGATCAGTTTAAGTTTTATTTTTTAGGTATGATTTTGTTAGCATTAGACGAAAGAAAGGCAGAGGAGGGTAGGTATTATTACCGAAAATCTCATCAGTCATTCCGATTTGCTAACAATTTGCATTTGTTTCTGCCAGTGGGAGAGGAAACTGTAATCAGGATATTACGACTTTTACTCAAACTTTACATTAAAATGAGGAATGAAATAAAGAGTAGAAGAGTTAAATTCAACTCAAAGGAAGACAAAAGCACTTACTTCTTCAAGTAATCTAATCTTTCTAATTCTTTTCCCACATAACCATTGATCATTACCGGAATATCTCTCTCAGCTCCAATCAATGCTTTCAGCGAGGCAAGGGATGAAAAACTATCGGCGGAAATCGTAGCGACCAATAACAGTATATTAAATACTGTCCAAAGCATTATTTTCCTGCAATGCATTCAAATCACTATTCATCTCTTTACTCATGCAAACACGTAAATTCACGAAATGCTGTAAAGGAACCGAATATGAGATATGGTAGTACTGTAAACATGGACTGAAATGTAGAAAATCAATAAAGTTGAAACTCAATTGAAACCTTGTGAAAAAGAAAGAGAAAAGTTGATAGTGCTTTACTCTCGCTGCAGCCCGAAGGCCATCATTACAGATCTGCTGATTCCTAATTGTATGTAGAATATCACTGAAATGAGGGAATGAACTGAGTTTCAATTAATGTCAGGAAATGCATTAAAATATCGTGTAACTATTTGGAAACGTGATCTTCGAAAAGACATTGTAATAAAAGAAGGAAAAAAGTAAGGGATGATGATCAGAGGGGTAAGGGTTGGGAGGTTAGGAAGGGGAATCAGAACTAGTTCCAAGCAGTCATTTTATTTCATCAGAGCAATTAGCCAGAAAGTTCAAACTGTTCATCTCACATTAGCAATTTATCATTCCGTCTTTTGGGGGGGGAGGGGAAGAAATTTCGAGAAGGCCGTATTCATTTTTTTACGTGCGATCACCATGCACTTCCTTATAACTGTAACACTCGATCGGGTAATGTGATGACCTCTTTTTTTTGAAATTTATCGATCCAATACTTGAAAATTGAAAGTGATTTGAGTGAGAATGCTAGAATTAGCACTTCTCCATTAGTGATGAAAAAAGCTGGTAGCAATATATCTGCGATGACTAACTGCTTAGCTAGAATTTCTTAGTAATAATCGCTATGTTTTTACCGCCAAAAGTGCTACAATTGGACAATTTTCCACAGTACTATTTCTCATCATATATTATTGCAATATTAGACGTAAAATGATCGCACAATCAAGATGTAA